ATGAGAAAAAAAAAACTTGGATTAACCTAATAACTTATGCATGGATAAAATACAGGTAAAACAGCTGGCGAGACAAGAGTTGAATTTTAAAAATTAGCCTGTACAAGAATAAAAGAGCAGCCCAGCAAAAATGATCGTGAAACTATAGCCTGACTTCAGGCAAAATGGTAGAATGAACAAGAATTGCTGTTGAATGGTAGAATGAACTAAAACTGGAGTTAAAACAGTAATCCAGACAAGTAGTACCGAAGAAACACTAATTAAAATCTGATGAAAAATAATTGAAATAACAAGAAAAAGCAGCTTGGATACGAACTGTGGGTAAAATAGCAGACAATACACAACTGCAGGTAACACATCCTGGACAAGAAATGTGGGTAAACTAACAAGAATAGAGAAAAATGTTGACTAGATAATGACTGCTTTTTAATCTCCAGCCTGGGCAATAACATAGGGGTAAAAATATTATTCTGGATTAGATTTGCTGGTGAAACACAAAAACTAAAAGAAAAATTACAGTCTGGATAAGAAGCAGGTGTGAAATAGCATCTTAAAGTTTTGTATAAAAACAACAGGTTGAATAAAAACTAGGAAAGAAAAAATGATTGAATATGATTTGCTTATGAAACAGCAGTCAGATCAAGAACTGAAAAAAAAACAGTAGCACAAACATGGATTAGAGGCAATTAAGATGGCTGAATAAGATTTGATTGTGAAACTGTGGCCTAAACAAGATCAAGGGACAATTAAATATAACATTTGGGGACAACATGGGATTTGTTGGTCAATCTTGGCTGTTCCATCCTCTAAACTAAACTAGAACTATTAATATATTTTTTTTTAAATCTTAAAGCCAGCCCTTATCATTCATATACTTATCAAGCTTTCTCTTAAACTCCCTTAAATTTACTGCCTCCACAATATCTGAAGGCAACCCATTCCAAAGGCCAACCACCCTGTTAGGTCTTAGGTGAAGATGACTCTTACCCTGCCAAAATTTATGTTTGTGTCCCACTATTCTCACTGTTAAGTATGAAAAATGATGATGCATCAACACTATCAATTCCTTTTACTATCTTAAACGTTTCAAACAGATCCCTCCCCTAACTCTTCTATTTTCAAGAGAAAACAATTTGAGAGATTTCAGTCTCTCCTCGTATGACAACCCCTCCATCCCAGGCATCATTCTAGTAACCATTATCTGAACCCTTTCCAACAACTAAATGTCTTTCCTAAGAGAAGGAGCCCAAGCTAAATACAATATTCCAAATATGGCCTAATCAGTGATATATACAATGAAATTATAACCTATTTAGACTTGTATTCAATATATCTGTAGATACAATCTAAAATCCTATTTGCCCAACCACTAGCAACAGCACACTGCTTGGATGGCTATAGAGACTGATCAACCATTCACCAAGATCCTTTTATTTCATGACACTTTTAAGATTATTCCCATCCAAATTATACTTATAATTCAAATTATGATAATCCACATGCATTATCTTGCATATATTATAATTAAAACTCATTTGCTATTTATTTGCCCAACTCACTAAATGATCTAAATCCTTTTGTAAATCAGCAGCATCCTCTTCATAGCTAGCAACACCAAAGACCTTAATATCATCTGCAAATTTAAGTAATTTATTGACCATTCCTTCATCTATATCATTGATGTAAATCAAAAAGAGCAAAGATCCTAAGACTGAGCCCTGAGGTACCCCACTTGTAACATTAATCTATTTCGATTGTCCATTTGTAACAACCCTCTGCTTTCTTCCATCCAGCCACCCTTTATCCTATTTCTAACTTATTCCCCACACCTACACAGATAATTTTTTTACAAGCCTTTTTCTGTGGCACCTTGTCAATGCTTTCTGAAAATCCAGATACATCAAATATACACCCTTACCATCACCTACATAAGCAATAACCTTTTCAAAGAATGTCAAAAGATTTGCAAGGCAAGATTTTCCTTTAGTAAAACCATGTTGACTATCCAATAAAATTGTAAACTTTGTTAAATGACTTTGCAAAGCATCTTTTAACAGACTTTCCAAAACTTTTCCCACAACTGATGTAAAACTAATGGGTCTATAATTACTGGGACTAGTTTTATCACCTCCCTTGAAAAAAAAAAGAAGAGTTACAATAGTTAACTTCCAATACACTGGTACCTGGCCACTATTCAAGAACTGACAAAAACTAGTAGTAAGTGGCTCACATATTCAATATTTAACCTCCTTTAAAATCCTTGGGGAAATATTTTTTGGACCAAGCTCCTTACTGTTCTTTAAAATTCCCAATTTTTTCTTAACCAGGTTAGAATTAATACAATCATCTTGTTTAATCTCGTTTTCATCTATCAACTGTTCAAGGTGTAGACTACTGCTTAAATCTTCGTTAGTAAAAAACGTAAAAAAAAGTAAAATTTAATAACCCAGCCATCTCATAATCAGTAAATACAAGCCTTCCTTTATCATCTCCATCCTAACATTTTGTTTACCCTTAATGTATTTAAAAAAATCCTTACTGTTGAATTTTACATTTTCAGTCATCCTTTATTGATACATCCTTTCTGATGTACTAATTTCCTGTATCACCAACTTTCTTGATCTTCTAAATCTCCTGTCATACTAGTCAATTTAAATTTCTTAAATTTAAGATGTTTTTCTTTAATTTTATCTCTTAAACTCTTTGTGAGTCAACCTGGTTTTTTTACTTGCAGCTACCTTTTTTTTTCTATAAGGAATATTTTTATCTTGAATATTTAGATATATCCACATCTGATCAGTGTCTCCAAAGAATTCAGCTGCTCAATTCACAACAGATAACTCTTGTTGTATACCTTCAAAATTTGCTATTTTAAAACTTGTAACCAAAATATCATTATTCCTTATCTACATATGCATTGAACCTAATAGAACAATGATCATTTGCACCCTCATGTTCCCCAATTTCCATCCTCTCTATCATTTCTATATTTAAAGTTCAAAATAAATCTAAAATAGCATTATTTGTAGTAAGTTTCTTGATTAATTTGTGAAGCCATCTTGAACAGTTTCCAAAAACCTTTTTCCCTCATTGTTTAACTCTAGCATTTTCCAATCTATATGCCAAAAATCAAAATAACCCATAATTATGACTTCATTAACAGCTGAAATCTTAATCTCATTGTAAAGTTTCTCACTAATTTCATTAGTATCATTTGATTGTCTATAACAAACTCTGACTAAAAGCCTTTTCCCTTTATATCCACTAATAGAAACCCATATGGATTCAATTTCTTTTCTATTATCTTAAACTTCAACAGGACGTAACTCACATTTTGCATATACCCCCCCCCTTTAATACTCTATTCCTATTAAATAGCCTGTAACCCTGTATTTTAAATAAATTTCTGTCATCAAAATCATCCATTGAACTGATCTCACAAGTCCAACCAGCCAATCTGCTCATCATTAAATACTAATCTAAGTCTAGCCCTAGTGATGTACTTGTAACTTCATCTGCACAGTTAATTCTGGGCAGTATCCACGACAATACTAAGTTATGGCTTTTTCTTTAAATCCCTTTGTCAACCCCTTGTACTTATCAATTAGCTCCTCTGATCCACCTTTCCCTACATCATTAGCCCTACATTTCTAATTTATGAAAGTCATTGTTAGCTGATATATTCCTTGCATGTAACAGCTTAAGCTCCTCTTGAAATCCTGCTGCCATTTCGCACAGTCTACACTTTTCTTTATCTATTGCCTCTACTTTAATTATGATAGCCTCCAATTTCTCCTCGAACCTACAGACTGGGGAAAAGTTATTGATGAAATAGTAACCTCAACAAAAACTGTGTGTAAATTAATGTTACAGACAAGAAAGCTAGATATTTATCAGTAGTCTAAAAAAAGAATTAACAGTTAAAACAGCTTTGCCACATAAAAACTATTGGTAAAACAACTGACTACACAACAACATGATCAAAAAACAGAAAAAAGGGTGACTGAAAAAGAAGTGTGGACAAGAACTGAAAGTAAAATAGCTGCCTGGATAAAGTTGCAGCATCTAAGGTCACCATTCTAAAAAGTAGAATAAAGAGGTGCATAATTTTATTACCAATTAATTCATAATATTCCATTGTGTTGCTAACCATTTTTTTTTTTTTTTTATGAATACTAATCTACTTTAGTAAAGTTAAAGATTTCCATACATAAAAATAAGATAGCTTGTTTTGACACTTTTCAATGTTGAAAAATAAATACATTGAAATTTCCTTATATCAGAAATGTAGTTAAACATCGCAGTTATCAGAATACCAACACAAGTACTGGTCACTACAAATGACATCATTATTGATGATACATTGTAGAATGGATGGCAACTGCCTGTTGTAGAGACACAAGAGTAGGGGATGACATTTCAAAAGTCTTCCGCCTGAAGATGAAAGGTAGAAGACTTTTGAAACGTTGTCCTCTACACTTGGTATCTCTACAACAGGCAGTTGCCATCCTTTCTACAAAGTTTCATCATGAATACTCTGCCTAAACAATCTATCAAAGAAGGACATCATTATCATTTAAATTTTAATGAAGCACAGTTACAAAATGTCTAATATTGTGATAAAACACCTACTTTGTCATGCTTCCTTTCTACATTTATTTTTCACGTAAATACCTTGGTGCAAACTTAGCTATTTATCTAGAGAATTAAAATACTTTAAATTAAGCTTGGTTGAATAATAACTATGCAAGTCCTAACTTATATTATAACTAATCAGTGAAAAGATTAAAGAATAACACGCCTTGTTATTCCAAATGCTAAGGTATATTTAATTTCAGTTCCATTAGTTGTTTTCAGACTTTAGCCATCATATTACATTTACGTATAATAATATATTTTATATATTATAATGATGAGGTCACGCGACAGAAAAAGTTACCAGTACCAATGTTAATACTATAGTAACAGTATATATACTAATAGTACTCAGTGGCAGGTACCGTTATCAAGTTGATCAACCCAACTGTAACGTGATTAGGCTATGTCAACTGGAACAGTTACTGATGAAAAATATAAGGGTAGATTTAATTAGATTTTTATCACAAGATCCAACATAGCATTACATATTACTAGGAAATATTAAATTATATAACTCCTCATACCTCCCATAAAAAACACTACACCATTTTTGTGATACCGATTGCCCTGCCCTCTCAAAAGTCTTAATTACAGCCAATTATTAACTTTTCATAAAATACGTTATTTTGAATTTAAGTCATACGAATTCCAATAAAATTGAAACCCTTATAAGGTTAGATGTAGTAAAAATTGAAGTATCCGTTATAGCTTACTCAAAAAAAATTATAGAATTGTACATGAAATGCAAATAGAGCAAAACGTTCGTTTTTAATACTAAATCTTCAAACTTCAGAGTACTCGGTTATCTTCACACAGAACAGAGGAGTCAGTAAGTAATATTTTTTCATATTAACGACGAGAATAGTAGGACTAGGAGGACACAAATATACATTTTGGCAAGGTAGGAGTCATCTTCAACTAAGACAGTTTTATTTTTCTAACAGGATGGTTAGCCTATCGAATGGGTTGCCTTCATACATTGTGGAGGCAGTAAATTTAAGTGAGTTTAAGAGAAATATTGATAACTATGATAAAGGCTGGCTTTAAGACTTTTTAATAGTTATAGTTTAGTTTATAGGATGGGAGAGAGGAGATGGATTAATGGGTCCCTAAACATTATGTTATGTTATGTAATATGATTTTTAAAGCACTTTGCTATTTTTGGGGGATTACCGATAATGAGAGTAGTTGCTCATAGGGTCATTTAATTTTGTAATTAGGGGCATCTAAAATAAATAAGCGGAAATACAAAATTTGTTATTAGTCTAACATTTCTTTATAAATATTATTTTTTATGCAGAAATAGAATTAAAATAGATGATATACACTAACTTGTCGTGTGAATGAAAGTTTCAGAAAGTTATTAAAAACAAAGAACAGTAACATAAAAAAAACTCAAAAACAGGCAGTTTCCTTCTTTTGTTTTAATATCAAGTTTAACAGAGTTAGATTACTAGGCAACATAATTTGAAGTTTTACTCTGTTAGACGTTACTCGATGTGTGTCAGCAGTAAGTTTACACATATACAATGCTATAATCCTGGGTTCGATTCCACGTGGTGGACATAATGAAGATAGTCAATTGTGTAGCTTTGTACAACGAAAACAACTCCTTGCGATCATAATTTTACAGGCCTGGCATGGATTGGCGGTAAGGGCGCCCAACTCGCAAATTACGGTCAATCCCACTTTCAGTTGGTAAAAGAGTAGCTCTCTGGTCCATCATTGCTAAGTTAGGGAAGGCTAGCGCAGATAGCTCTCGTGTAGCTTTACGTAAAATTCAAAACAAACCACGGTTTTGCGTTAGAGATTATCTGGACGGAAAAGTAGCACTTTAATTATTAGTTATTTCTAAATACATTGTATGACTTTTTACATACACATAAAAACATTGCGATATGGTTTTGAAGCACCTGAAAAGTAGCGTAAAATGTTTTTTGTTGTTAAGCACAAAATTTCATAATAGGCTATCTGCGCTGTGATCACTGATAGGATCGATTCTCGAATTTTTGTGTTTTAATATTTCACATTTATCGGTGTGCGATCGGGAAGCCGTAAAATGGGTAATAAACTTTGTTACTTAGAGTAAATTCATGGAATCTTAACTTACATTTTTGTTTTCTAAAACAATTTTGAATAACTAAGGAACCACAAGTTTTGAAAATATTGAGATCAGACTATCACTTTTTTAAGGTGGACAGTTTTAACATCTTAAAGTCTAAAGGCTTTTGATATAAGACTTATGAATGTGGATGTGCAAAGTAATAAACAGGCAAATATTGCAATATCTCAATGTTCCATTTATCTTACTTTTTATAGAACATAATTATATGGAAATGTACATTGTATACATTAAACAGACACTGATAGTTTGGCCGTAATGGAGTTAAGACAGATTGGTTATTTTAAGTATTTTATAAAGAAGAGATCAATTGGCAAGTATAATTCACTTTGAGGCTCACTCACTACAAAAAAATGAAGAAATACAAGTTGAGTCAGAAAACATTAAAATGGTGGAGTTGGCAAACATAGTTCACTTGAAAACTCATTCACTACATAAAGTGAAGAATTATACGTTTGATTAAAAAACCTTATAAAGATGAGCTTGAAACACCTCTCTCGAATTTTTCTGTCACTTTATTGTCATTTCTGTCCTCTATCCCATCTTATTCCGTTTGACAGGGCCGGTGATAGCTTAAATGACGTTCTAAGCAAAAATTAAGTTTACGCTCCAACTCACACTAAACTCTCCGAGTATTTGGTGGCTTAGGCAACTGCCTACTTTACCTGCCATTTCATTTACCACTCGGGGGTACCTAAGTTTAGGGTTTTAGAAAAATTCTGGGGTCAAAAGTCCATGATTAAATGTAGTCTTGTTTTATAGTAACGAAAAAGATTTAGATTCAACCATGGGCGCACGCAGGAAGGGGGCATTTGTCCCCCTTACATTTCACAAAAAAATGCACGTATTGTGATGTAAACTTAACATCGTAGTTAAGATAAATATCCTTAGTAATTTTTATTAAAACTATAAGTTTGTGTTTGCGTTTATGCACTGTAAAAGCTGATCCCCTACATACATGTTTGTCCCCCCCGAAAATATTCCTGTGAGTGCCCATGGATTCAGTATTTAATTCCTTTTCTCCTGTGCGCCTTTCTTCATTTATTCACCACAGCCACCCCTAGACTGATCTATACCAGATGTAACTTACCGTTTTTATAATGAAATTCATCTTCCCAAGTAATCATTCAGCCTAATATGACTTCCTCTGAGATCTTACCTTGCTCTGTATTTCTCATCAGGAACCTCACTCTAGAGTTCCAATATGGAAATGAGAAATTTATTTTCTAATGTAACGTGGCCAGTCTTTTGCCTCTGAGACAACCACGTACAACACCTCCCTTCCAGCACGCCTTATCCAGACTCAAGCTGACTTTTCCGTATCCACAAAATACCATTGTCTATCTCCTGAAAATAAATTGTACTTTTCCAGATCTAATCTTTATATTTTGCTAGATCATTTGTCGCCGAATCCTACTGTTTTGTTTGCTGTGCATTTTCTTTTTCAACTTTACTATCTTTATATTTAATCACGTGTACAGTCGCCTCGTTATATCATGGGTTCATTCCTTTCTTCTCCTCTCTATTTTTTCATTACTATAAAGGCTTTTTGTTATGTAATAACAGATTAATTTAATAAATTTCTTACGTCATGGGGTGAAAGGAGAAAGGCTATGTATGTAAATGTCAATATTTTATATATAACGCTTGTAAGAGACACTACGACCAGAATCCTGTAGACTGAAACTATTGTAACATGGTTACTCACACATACGATAATCATTATAACAATAGACTTTTAAAAAATAGCTAACTCAGAAATCAAAATTATCTTAAAATGGAAAATAAAATAAACAGTGACTAAGTGAGGTGCATTTCCTAAATAATACCGTGTAAATAAAATAAACCAAGTGAATCTCGATTTCATGCCCAATTGAGCGTGGTTCTAGACATTAAATTTGAGAATGTAACATTTGTAAAATGTAAAATAAATGCGTTAACGACTAATGACACAAAAGAATTTTTCTACTTTTAAGGTGTTAAAGATCAATGGAAGTGTTCATTCAAGTTTGGTGAGTTATCGAAATCTAATTTTTAAACTGTCTTGTACGTTGAAGGTTGGCACTAACTTTCTATCTAAAAATTAACTCATTTACTAAAGAAAAATAACTTTCTAAACATTAGTGAAAGCAAAAATTGAAATAATTATATAATAATATACTTCAACTATTTTTAGCAGCATTTCAAAGTAACTGAAAAACACACGATACTGTAACAAGAACTTAGGTGGAGATAATACTAATGTTTATGAACTGGGCGTGACCTATAGGTTAGTGTTCCTGATTATTAATACAACAGTTATGGTACACATCCCGTTGGTGCAGAACCGCACTCTGCACTTTAAGGCCGTGAGTGACGGTTAAATCTCACTATCTGATTAGAGTTGTCCAAGAGTTGGCGGTGGGTACTGTTGACTAACTGCTTTTCGTCTAATCTATCAGTTCAAAATTAACGCAGATAGTTCTTGCAGCTATGTGCGAATATTTGAAAGAAATAAACAAACTGATGTTTATATACATGTTTTTATACGACGAAATACTGGTACTTTGGGATAAAAGCTGAAAACGCTGTTAGCAACGAAGGTACGCAAATGATGTCCTAATTGCACGGTAGTCACAGAAACTTTTTGTTGTTTGCCTGTTACTCACAATTAAGATTATTTATTATTCATTGTGATTATTACTGTACATACTCGTGTAATGGTTGAATTTTTGTAAGCAACTTTTAGATTGTAATTTAGGGGTCGACTTTTTACACGAGTAATATGTTCGAGAGGTTGAAATGCATGCTCAGTGAGAGCTCATGAAACATGAAAGAAAACCCCAACTAATACAAAAGACAATAAACATCAAGAAAAGTAATTTTCATTTTTTAGTTACAAAAGATGTAAACACAAAAACTGACATATTTACCTTAATAATCGAATAATCAGTTTTTCAGATAAACATGTTCGGTATCTATATACCAGCAATATCAAAGTTCTTATCTTAAAGTACTGTTACGTCTCCGTTTGTTAATTGAT